CACTCATGTGGAACAGAAGAAACTTCACAGAGGACTGTGGGGGAGGAAAAGGGAAATTAGTTAAGAAGGAGGGAGGCAAATCATAGACTCTTACATACTGAGAACAAACTGAGGGCAGGTGGGGGTGGGGGGAAGGGAAAAGTGGTGTTGGGCATGGAGGAGGGCACTTGTTGGGATGAGCACTGGGTGTTCTATGGAAACCAGCTTGACAATAAACTATAAAAGGAAAAAAAAGAAAGTAATCCAGCATTACTAACCTTTTGTTATATCTGTTGACCTAGCAATTCTCACTGCAGAGATTTATACATAAATGCAGGTGCCAATATGTGAGATAGATGCACACAAATATTTATTGCAGCATCATTTGTAGTTGAAACAACTTCAATATACATCACAAAGAAAATGGTTGACAAAATTATAGCATATCCAGACTGTGGAATATTACACATCCATAGAGTAGATTAGACCTGTGTCTAATTGGAGGGATAGTCATGACATATTGTTAAGTGACTAAGGAAAATTGTAGAGTGATAGCTGTGCTATGATTTCATTTTTGTTAAAAAAAACAACTTTCATTTAAAAAACTTGTATTTACATGGAGAAATAGGTAGAAGGACATACATATGGCTATTAACATGGATTACCTCAGGGCCATGGTAGCCTATATATCTACAGTTTGACCTGTTAAAATGAACATTTATTGATTTTGTAATTTAAAAAAATATATATAATAATGTATAGGAGGTGTTTTATTTGGTTTGGTTTGGAAATTAATCTGAAGACCAAGATTGAGAAGAGATCACCCACCTGCTTTAAATGATTCCTGGTACCCAGACCCTGAATTATAATCTTGCCTTAGAAATACCTCGTAGGGCAACTGAGGTCTTTGTTCAGTGATCACTGAATAATCCCAAAGAAAAGAAGTTAGAAGATGGAAGATAGTTACATTTGCTCCAGTAACCCAAAAGAGGGAAAGCAGAAATTCCTGAAAGTAGAGATTAGGAAGTTTGGTGTGTTCTCAGCAAAGCCCAGGGACAAATCACTAGAAACATCACTTGTATATATTTATGGAATTAAGTAGGAATTATGAGGAGCTCTTGGGAATGAAGTCATGCTAAAACTCAATCACATTATATTTCTTTTCTCTATCTCCCTCAAATAAGGGTATCATTGTAAATATAAAGTATTAAAACTTTTCTCATAATAGGTAAGTAGTCAAGATAAACATGGATTAGAAATCTATGCAAAGGTTCAGACTCAGAGTATTGATTAATCTTAAGGAAGCTTCTAGAAGTAGAGCTTTACCCATGAACTTCTCCTCTCAAGTTCTTGGATATAGATATAAAAGGGAATCTATTTAAAAATGACATATATAAATATATACATATATTTATATATAAAAATACATATATAAAAATTACATAAAGCTTGCAGCAAAAGCTAACTGTTCCCAAGGATTAAATGGGGATATAAGTAATTCCTGACAGGTTGGAAAGACTACAACAATAACATGTAATGGAATTGGGTTATATGAAAAGTTAATTCAGGTTCAAAAAATCAACTCCATGAGAAAGAAAGCAGGATCAGTAAGAGTAATAGGCTCTTTAAAAGTTGAAGAATTGAGGGGCACCTGGGTGGCTCAGTCAGGTCGGCATCTGAATTTGGCTTAGGTCATGATGTCATGGTTTGTAAGTTTGAGGCTCTCTGCTGTCAGCGTGGCGCCTGGAGCCTGCTTTGGATCCCCTGCTCCTACCTTCCTTCCACCCCTCTCCCATTGGTTCTCTCCCTCTCTCCCTCTCTCCCTCTCAAAATAAATAAATAAACTTTAAAAAAGTTAAAGAGTTGCAGTTGAACCCTAAAGTGACTCTTGGGCTGAATTAGTGGAGGATTATAATGAGGAACATGTAAAACTGAACTCTTGGTATGTTCTGTAAGAGGAAGACTGAAAATAGTGAGCCCAGTCCTGGGATTATGGCACAAACTGAACATATTCAGGGGAGTGCAACCAGAGGGAAGAAGGGTCTGGAAACAATTCTTGTAATGCGATTTAAGGACAGGGGCAAACTATCAAAGGGAATTACTTTTGTAATTGTCTCTGCTCGTGGAAAGATCTCAAAAGAGGTTGTGAGCAGCAGGGGTGTAAAGGGGAGACCGATGGTCTTGCCCTGCCATCAGGCAGAATTCCTTGTTTCTTTCTTTTTTCAAATCCCACACACATCCCACCTACTTAAAGCCAGGTCTCCCAAAGTGTGGGCTGCTGGGCAAGATGGTTTAAGGTAGCACATAGACCCAGCATTAAATAACATTAAATCTCATGTTTATGGTAAGATTGCTGTATATGTTTTCATTTTCTTTCAATTCACTGATTACATAAAGAAGAAAGTCTCTGGTGTTAATAAAGTTTTGAAATCTCATATTTGCTAATCTTCCCTTTTTAATAAGGAAAAGACAGGCCTGGAGAAGAAGTGGAGAGCCTTCAGCAAGCCACAGCATCTAGTTGGACTTTTAAACATTATTATGTTATCATTGTATTAATTTACCAGAAGGGGAACTGGTTTTTCTTAAGTTTTTTTTCTTTTTTCCTTTTTCTTTATTTTGAGAGAGACAGAGACAGCATGAGTTGGGGAGGTGGAGAGAGAGAGGATCCCAAGCAGGCTCTGCACCATCAGCATGGAGCCCAATGCAGGGCCTGAACCCACAAAGCCATGAGATCATGACCGGAGCCAAAACCAAGAGTCGGAAGCTCAACCAACTGAGCCACCCAGATGCCCCTGGAAAACTTGTTTTTCATTTAAAGTAATGATCTAAAGGAAAATAAAATGTGAGTCTAATGGTGCTTTAAAATAAGAAGTTATTAGCAAAGAAGCACAGGAGTGTACTCAAAGACAAAACTGAAAGTATGAGGACAGAGAAAAACAGATCAGTGAAACACCAATCAGACTCATGTAACATCATTTTGACCATAGAAGCATACTGTACATACACTTGGAAGTGATAAGCAATGGGGAAAACCAAGGAAGAACTCTGTGTTGAGCAGTGTCTCCCAGGATGGCAAATATGTGACAAGGACATGAAGCACAGCCCTAATATAGCCCCTGGGTAACACTGCTTCTAGCGAGGTCCTTGCCTGGAACCTGGCTGGAGTAAGGGAGGGAGTAAAGGAAAAAGGAGCTTTGGGTATTGAAAAATAAAAATGAACTCCAAGCCTGCATATTGGGGAAAGTTTCTGCACTCATGTTATGCTCCCACCAATGGTGGGGGACAGTGCAGACAGTAAAGGCATAATTAGTATTCACAGTGCATCACCTGCCCTTTTGTTGCATTTCTACAGTGTAGACGAAGGCTCAAGCCCTGACTTCGGGTCAGCTAGGCAACTTGGCCCAGATGGAGCAATTGCAGCCTGTTGCTTATATCATCTTCCTGCCTTTACTGTGGACAGTGAATCAGCAAGTCAGCAGTTTCTTGCAAAGCACATTTATTGGAACAGATATTTGTACACACGTGTTCATAGCAGCATTATTCACAACAGCCAAAAGGTGGAGTAACACAGGTGTCCAGCGATGGATGAATTGATAAACAAAATGTGGCATATGAATACTATGGAGTATTATTCATCCTTAAGAAAGGAAATTCTGACACATGCTATAACATGGGTGAACCTTGAAAACATTATGCTAAGTGAAATATGCTAAAGACACATATTGTGTGGTTGTGTGAGGTATTCTAGGAGAGTAGAAGTCATAGCAACAGAAAATAGAATAGTGGTTACCAGGGCCTGGGGGTAGAGGCAATGGGGAATTGTATAATGGGTTCAAAGTTTCAGTTGGGGAAGATGAAAAGGTCTGGAGATGGAAAGAGGTAATGGCTGCACAACAGTATGAATGTACTTAAAACTACTGAATTGTACACTTAAAAGTGATTTAAAGAATTTTTTTAAAGAAGTTAAAATGCGGAGCACCTGGATGGCTCAGTTGGTTGAGGGTTTGACTTTTGGATCATGATCTCATGATTTTGAGCCCCTCGTTGGGCTCTGTGCTGACAGTTCAGAGCCTGGTGTCTGCTTTGGATTGTGTGTCTCCCTCTCTGCCCCTCTCCCACTCATGCTCATGTGCTCTCTCTCTCTCCCAAAAATAAATAAACATTCTTTAAAAAAAGAGTTAAAATGATTAAGTATGGAAGACTCCAGGGAGTACCTGCTTGTGGTAAAAGTGATGATGGTGTGTGCCATATCTCTCTGGGGTTCTTCACCCACACCCTAGCCATTCTCTACCCTTCTCTGTCCTGCTTTATGCCCTGGGTCACATCAACATGCCTCTTGCCTTCTGGCTTCTGGTTGGAGTCATTCATTGGGAAGCACTAGCAGGAGATGAGGGCCGAAAGAAGAGTGAGGTTAGAGGATCTACTTCCTCAGTTCCCTCCCTACAGGATTGCTGCCCAGTGACCACCTTCCCTTGTCTGAGGGTCTGGCAGCCCCTGTCAATCTCAGGATTCCAGTGCTCTTTCCTCTAGCCTCTCAGACCTTGGTTAGTATGAGCTGACTTGGCCCCTAGCCCCAGAGAATTTCACCATCCCTTCTGGTTTTCCCACTTCCTACTAACACCTTTGTAAATAGTACTTTTATTAAATTCTCCTCAAATTATCCAGTTAAAGCACATAATCTATTTCTTGCTGGACTATGGTTGATACAAGGTAATTTACAACAAAGTTCAGGAAACACTGACCCAAGGAAAATTCACCTATATTTCTCAAAGATCTTGCTGATTCCCAAAACCTTCCAGATATTGAGAGAAGGCGATGGTAAGGAATGGTGAATGGTGCCATCTTTCTCCCAGCCCTCCTTCCCCTCTCCTGCTCTAAGCACTTCTCTTCAATTGCTATTTTAATACAGAGAATTCAGCACCTATTGTTTTCTCCATTCTATAGAAAATGACATTTCTATACATCACAGAATTCAATTCCAATAAAACAACGAAATCATTCAGATATTCAATAGTGTTTTATTTATTTTTTTTAAAAACGTGTTTCCTGTGAATGTTTCCATTGAATCCTAGACACAGATGGTCAAGGATATAGGGTAATTGCAGTTAATATGCAGTTAAATAGGAACAGAAAAGCTGAAGTGGTATTTTTGTAAGGCTATTCAAATTGGTAAGAGACAAAGCTCTGTTAGATGAGTTATCTCTCCGTTCAAAGGTGGCTCATTATGGGGGAAATAACCATGAATTTTGCCTTCCTTCTAGTAGTAATGGCATATAATAAGTTGAACATAGCTCCCCAACCTCTGAAGTCCAGAGAGATGCATCTTGCCCAGGCTTCTACTATACACACGTTAGTTTTAGCTCACGAGAAACAGTCATACTTGCTCGTAAATTCACTGGCTCTGGTAAGCAGACAGTCTGTTTGCTGCAAAAGAAAAGCAACAAGAAGATATGGGCTCAGGGCAGGTTTCTGATTGCTCAGGAAAGAGGGCTAGGAGTTGTGTGTTCTTATGTTTCCATGATGTCAGATAAAAGTAGTCTACAACTGTCTATTATAGGAGTGTACTACTCCTATCCTCCAAGTGCCCAGGGGTGGTAAGACTAATATAAAGTCATGCTAGAGGCACAGGTGGATTCACACCTGTGAATGTGACCAGTGGAGACTAAGGAGGAGGAACTATTCAATGAGAAATCTTTGTTTCAATAAATCATATGTAGAAACTAAATAAGACATACATAAAACAGATTTTATATGTATATATAAAATTATTCAGCTGTATATCAGATAAAATTAAGTTTCTTATATTGAAGTGGGAATGGAAAATTGAAGTCTACCCTCTATGGCTTTCAAACACCTCCAACCCAAGATGGAACCAGAGGAAATTCAAGAAAACTCTAGGCCTTTGTCATCTCTGCATTGAAGAAGCTAATTTCTGTGATGAGACTGTACCTCAATAAATGTCACATCTAAGGTCAGGATTGGTCCTTGTGGGTATGTCTGGGGCAGGGGTGGATCCTGGGCTTACTTGTCATTGACTGGCAAAGGAGCAGTGCAGAACTTCCCGGCAATTGTAGTCCGGTCTTTTTTCCAAACTAGATGGGAAGAATGAAACTTGAATTTCACTTGGTTTATCTGGCACTGGGCATTGGTGTGAGCTATGATTCCTTTCCCCTGGAGTTTCTGTCTAGGTCTGCAAGGGAAAGGGAAATTAAGTTATTGAAGCACTTTTGGCCTTTGCTTCCCCTTGGCTCCTATGGGGCTCTGCTGGTAACATTGTTTAGCTGTCATGCACAAAAGAGCTCCTTGAAGGTGGGGACTGCAATCCTTTGTATCACACTAACCAGCCCCTTTGCACATATTCTCACAGCTTGGAACATGGCTCAGAAAATAGTTGTTGATTTTTAAAAATATTTTTTAATGTTTATTTATATATTTAGAGAGAATGAGAGAGAGAGAGTGAGCATGAGCTGAGGAGGGGCAGAGAGAGGGAGATAAAGAATTCCAAGCTGGCTCCACACTGTCCTTGCAGAGCCTAATGCGGATCTCGAACTCATGAACCATGAAAGCATGACCTGAGCTGAAATCAAGAGCCAGAGACTTAACCGACTGAGCCACCCACATGCCCCTTGTTTTTTTCTAGGAAGATTCTGTACAACTTTAAAAGCTGTTCCTTTTTTTTTTTTTTTTTTTTTAATTTTAGAAGTGTTTTGAAATACTTCAGAGGAAAAAATAAGGTTTTTCCCTTTAAGAAGCTGCATGGATGGAGGAGCTTGCAAACTAGCAGGATATGAAGGACGCTATGAGTAAGTTACCGAAAGGCCTGGTTTGGGTAAATTTTCTAATTAGAAGGAAATCTTGGGATTTCTCAAAACTATAGAAAGTAGAGAAAGACCACACACACACGCACACACACACACACACACACACACACACACACCCCTTTTTCAATTTCTATTCTGCAAGAGAGAAAAAAACAAACAAGGAACTGAAGATAACCATGTTCTGATAGTCTTCAAAAGAGTATAATGCGAATCGTTTTTAGGAGAAGGAAGAATCTGTGGATGTCCATGCAATCACTCAGGGAGCTTTTAAAAGTGTAGTGTAGTGGTTGAGGCTATGCCCAGAGATTCTGCTGCAATTGGCCTGGGGCAGGGCTTGGGGGGCCAGTGGTATTTCATTCTCTCCAGGTGATTCTAATGAGTGGCCATATGTGTGTCATTGTCATGACTCCTGCCAATGTCGGTTCATCTACCCTTGCACCCGAGAGGCAATGAAAACATCTTGTGGAAGTAATGTGACCTTGAACTGATCTAGTGAAAATTATTCAGCTATAATCTGCAAGACTCACATGGGCATCTGAAAATCTGTGTTGGGGTCCTGACTGCCTGCGGGACTTCTCTCTTTGGCCCATGTGAGCTGGAGCCCTGGCTGGTGGTAGGGTGTTTGGGAATCCAGAAATGAGCTCCTCTCAGTGGAAACTTGTCTTCCCTGGTAGTGCAATTAACCTCTAACACTGCAGCCTGAGAAATATTTCCAAACTCCAATCTGGTCACTCTGCTGCTTAAAATTCCTGGTGGCTCCCCAAACTGCTCTCAGGATAAAAATAAGATTCCCAACCTGTCCTTCAATGCCTGGCAGAGTCTGGCCCTCAGCTGCCACCCCTGTTCCCCCAGCCTCCTTCCCCAATGCCTCACCCCCTGCTCTTGGCTCTCTGCGCCACATTCTCACTAACTCCTAGCCTGGGTAACTCCTGCAAATCACTACTCAAACGTTAATCCAAACTTTCCCCAAACATCACCTTCTCACACTTGGTCAGGCTCTGTCTTCTTCTTCTTTTTTTAAATGTTTTATTTATTTTTGAGAGAGAGAGAGAGAGAGAGAAAGCGCAAGAGCATGAGTAGGGGAGGGTCAGAGAGAGAGGGAGACACAGTCTGAAGCAGGCTCCAGGCTCTGAGCTGTCAGCACAGAGCCCGACGCGGGGCTAGAACCCATAAACCATGAGATCATGACCTGAGCCGAAGTCGGACACTTAACCGACTGAGCCACCCAGGAGCTCCGGTCAAGCTCTGTCTTATTTGTCCTCATGGCATCTGCCACTGTGGACAATTGTACATTTCTGTGCATACGCACTGGTCGTTTCCGTGTTTGTGCTTCATGTGCTCCCCTCCACCCACACTTCTCAGGCTCCCCTGCCAACAGGTTCCAGCGAGGTCTAACTCGAAGGAGGCACGCACAGTGGGGAGACTGCCTTGGGCTGTGATTCCAGAGGGGCTATAGTTCCTGCCTGCTTCCAGCTCCCACCAAACAGCCCCTTCTGTGGATCCTGCTGGCATTCTAGGAACACTGCCGGGCTTAGTGCCTCCAGCCCCACAGGTGAAGTGGCCCCTGTTGCTGATCTCTGCAGTGCCTCATGCTCCTTTTGGGTTTTCAGCTCTCCCGACACATTTGTAATTAGTCCCTGGGTTGAAGTCCTTCTGCTGGACTCCCAGCTTGGACTCTGGTTTCTGGGCTGGACCCTGATTGAGACAGTGACCTCTCTGATTAGACTGGCCCCTGCTGGCTTGTGAGTAGCTAACCAATTGCTTTTTTTTTTTTTTAATGTTTATTTATTTATTTTGAGAAAGAGTATGCATATGAGCATGAGCAGGGGAGGGACAGAGAGAGAGAGGGAGGGAGAGAATCTCAAGCAGGCTCCGCTTTGTCAGCACAGAGCCCGATACAAGACTCAGTCCCACGAACCAGTGAGATCATGACCTGAAACAAAATCAAGACCAGGAATCTTAACCAACTGACCCACCCAGGCACCTCTAACCAATTGCTTTTTAAAGAAACATGCACCACCGCTGCTGAGTTCCTGTCCCCTGCTAGGCTTGAGCCTTCCTATAGGTGAAGTTCTCTGTCTTCTCACCTCAAGTATGCTCCTGCCAGCTGCTAGGCCCAGGTGCAACCCTATAAGGGAGGAAATGCTCAGAGATTGGCACCACCTGGCATCAAGCCCTGCAGGCCTCACCTTGTACTCATTTGCTAACTGACCGTCCGACTTTGATTCAGTTCTACTACTTCACCTAGCAATGCCCCCACTCTTCAATAGTAGGTGCCTCCCAGTCTCCAGCCAGCCCTCCCATGGCAGTGGCTGAGGTCCACCTATTGGCTGACATCCCTGATACAGCTTCCCTGGACTCCTGACTACTGTTTCCTATCAGGGACCCAGTTACTATGTTCTCACCACTTTTTGAGACATCCCATGACTGCTGTCTGCCTGCCTTACCTGCTATTGTCTGAATACACTATCCTTGGAGCCAATACTGATCCTGAACCTGGGACAGTTGCCCAGCATGTGTCTGTGGGTGAATCTGTAGTAGGTGCTGCCCTCACCCCCACACCCAGCCCTGTGGGCTCGGGCCACCCATCAGTGATTGCACAGGGCCTCTCATGGGAGACGTGTGTGTGTGTGTGTGTGTCTGTGTGTGTGTGTGTCTGTGTATGTGTGTGTAACGCAAGACACTTACGTACATGGTGATCTCAACTGAAGAAGTAACATTGCCACTAAGGAAGGTGATGGAGATGCAGGTATCCTTGTTTCTTGGCTCCTGCAAGTAAAACTCCACGAGGCTGTGATGCACTGGGAAACCAAAGCAGAGCAGATGCCTGGGCCAGAGGTCCGTGGATGCAACATGCAAAAAGCCCCAGAGAGCAGCCATGTAGGGCTCTGAGATCTACTTCTTAGCAGCCATGTGACTAGCAGCAGGTTACCTGTCATCCAAGATCCTTAGCTTCTTCATAAATTAGGGATAATAAAAATGGGTCTGAATGAGAGTTAAACGAGTTGATACAAAAAAGTCCTTAGACAGTGACTGTGCCTAGGAAGCATTCAATACATGTTAGTTTTGATTATTTCTTGTAATGCTAGAATATCCCACTCCTCCCTGCTTGATAACACTATCTCAGTGGTGTGATTTTGAAAGAACTGAAAAGGATCTCTCTTAAATAATGAACTCATAAAATGTAACAATATCCGCCGCTCTCCCATATGCACAGTGTCAGGGGCCCACTTGTGTGTAGGAGATGACTATTTCCCTCTCTGCGGCAGCCAGGTGCCTGTATGGCATCTCCATTCTCCCAGGCAGCATCGATCCTGGGGCTCTCAAACTTGTGCCATTGACATAAACTAGATGAGGAGCCTACCTCACAGTGATGCCCCTGCTGTCTCTCTGGCAAAAGAAGTTAAGAAGAATTACAGCTTCTCTAACCTCCTACCCTTTCCTTATTCAGGGGGAGGCCCATCTGGTGGCATTTTGCAGTATCTTTGGTCTTGGGGCATTTTCACAGACTTCTTTGGTGATCGGGACATAGCTGAACGGGCAATCCTTCACCTCTGCCCTACTTGTACTTTTTCATTTGTCATGTTTTACAGGCGAATATTGAGGGGACATCAAGTGGATTTAGGTAAACTCAGCATGAAGCTGGAGGAGTTCTATGATCCATCTGAGCTCATGGACTTGGTAACAAGACTCACTGACAGGTGCTAAGGTGCCAAGAGCCCATGTGGAAGAAAAGAGAGCACCGTATGCTTCCCCTGAACAGAGGAACACATCCAATGCCATGCCCCTTTTGTCTCTTTCTCAGTTGTTTGCTAGAGGATGCAGACTGTTAGGGTGATGGGCAAGGGCTAAATTGGAGTGGATAACTGAAATCTGGAAAAAAAAAACTCAATTACATAAGCTTTAGGAATTGAATTCTCTGGGCTGAGTTTTACATATTATATCACTTCTTTGCTAGCAATCCTCACCCATTAAGGAAGTTTCCTAAAGTTTGGCTCCTCTCTTTATATTATCTGGAAGCCCCAGGAGGGCCAGGTCTACTGACACTGGATGGGTGGGAACTGGTAGTGGAATCTGATCTCCAGAGCAGGAGTCAGACATGGGAAGCAGTACACAGAGCCCTGGATGGTTGGTCAGGAGACTGGGATCCAAGGCCCGGCCCTGCTGCTTACTTGCTGTTTCCTTTCTCTAAGTCACCGAACCTCTCTGTGTCTTGGTTCCTTCATCTATAAACAATAACCCTCGACATCACCTCACAGAACATGTCAAGGATTAAATGAGGTAATGGGGAGAAAGCACTTTGTGTGAAACACTGTTCTGCAAGGGAAAAGTAATCTTGTTAGAAAAAATATTTGAAAAAGATTCTCTGCCCTGCTGGTACATGTCTGGCAGGGGGCTGGGGTGACCACTGTCCTGTTGAATACTGCTGAGGCCCAGGCAGGCCAAGAGAGCTGGGCAATGGGCACCCAGTGCATGGGGTCTGGGAGTGGATGAGAGCTGGGATCTGTAGGCCATTGGTACTACTTGAACTACCAAGTGGAGGGCCCATCCATCCAGGTAGAGGAGGGTCCCAGCTTCAATGCTCAGAACAAAAGGCTCAGAATTGCAAGGCATGGCACATGGAGGCAAGCAGGTACTCAACGCTGGCTTATTTCTTTCTGTAGCTCTATGAGGTTTTGAACAGACAGGGCCATGCTTCTGGGGCATGGAGGGGCAGTCTCACAACAAATACGAAACAGTCAGAAAAATCAGAGCTATGTGAGTCTGCCTCAGCAGGGACCTTAAAATTCTTCTAACCTCAAGTGTGCCCCAGGCTCCCTGCCATGTATGTTCCTGGCTGTGCAGACAGGAAGGAGCCAGTTCAGGTTGCTGTGAAGCTGTCCCAGAACTGGAAGTAAAACTGGACATCTGGTCCCGGCATCGCTGCCTCCACCCTGGACAGAGCATCCTCCCCCAGGTTGACTTCTGGAGGGGGCAGTGAGGACAGATGAGGAACCAAGAAATATTGCTCTAAAGAGCAGATTCTCAGAAGTAGAGGCAAAGAAGTGTGGAGGCAGTGTGGAGGCAGGTGGTGACATGGAAAAAATATAGATTTTGGAGTCAGAAGACCTGGAGTTGAATTCTGCCTTTTACTCGCTACTGTGTGGCCTTGGGCACAAGGCTTAGATTCTCAGAACCTCCCCATTCTCACAACTAACTAGAGTGGGGTCAAATGAGCAGGTATATGTGAGAAGCCCACAGGTGACTCTTGTAAACCACTTGTTCCTAAGAAGTAGCCATGAATTCTCTCTAGCATGATAAACACCCGCATCTAGTCTCCCCCAGTTCTCTGAATGATAAAGGGAAGGGAATTATTACCTATCAAGTTCCACTCACTGTGCTAGCAACTTCCTGTATATTATTTTTATTTTACCCCCACAGTTGATTCTTTAAAGTAGATACTGTTATCGTTCCCATTTTCTACATAAGGAAGGAGAGGTTCAGCAAGGTTAGTAACTTGCTTCTGATCACACATCTGGTAGGTGGAGAAGCTGAGATTCAAATCCAAGTCTGTATGACCACAATCTGAACTTTGGGCTCCCCATCACATGACAACAGGAGTTCTGGTCCAAGGAAGGAATGGTCATAAAGATCCCTCCACTAACCAGACACAAGCTGATCAAAATATCAGTTAGAATTAGTTTGGATGTACAATTTATCATCCTAACCAGCATACTTTTGTCCTGTACACACAATAAGCCAGACAAGATCCCAGGATAACAAGCGTTAAAAAAGGAAGTATAGTCACTCAACTTAAGATGCAAATAGCATAGGAAAAGATGATGCTTCAACCTGTAATATTTCATAGAATCTAAGACACATTTTTCTCACACAAATTAACATCTTGTATTGGCATTTTAGCTTCGATGAAGCATGAAACACGCATGAAGTGGTTAGAAGCAACAGTGAAGAGTTGGAGTATGTATGTGTAGGGGAAGTAGAGTATAGAGCAAGGTTCGACATCCCTTAGAGACCTTGACCTAAGAGGGCTGCCAGGGTAGGAAACACATAAGATGGGAGGGGGGGAAGCATGCAGGAAGGAGGAAGCCAGAGGGTACTCCCAAATACCACACTACAGAGAACTCACACTGGAGTGAGGTGGGGAAGAACTAGGATAAGTATATAGACAGCAAGATGCCCTTAAGTCCTCCTCTTCAGTAGAGCAATGGGTTGGACTAGCTCTGAAATTCCCAGATCTGAGACCAGTAGCTGCTGCCTCTCACCCCTCCTATGACATCTTTGCCCCTGTCCTCCACCTCCCACTTGGACTACTGTGCCACGCTAGACACAGCCCAAGCCAGAGCCCTGGACTCTGCAGAACAGCACACTAGCATACCTGAGCTACACCCCCCACCCAACCCCCAACTTCCCACTCACCACAGTATGGAGCCATGGAAGTGGTCCGGAGGTACACTTTCACTTCCTTGGGAAGCGGCTGTATCTTGACACCACTTTGTTCCATCAGGCCTGGAAGTAGGGAGGCAAAGACAAACACTGCAAATACCTGAGGAGGCCTTTTCAGTGTCCCATGGCACCCAACCACATATTGATTAATTCATACACCCATTCATTCTACAAACAACTACACTGCATGCTCATTATATGTCATGCCCTATGGTGAGTCCCAGGATACATGCAACTCAGTCCAGCCAAAGAAAAACACACAAATACACAGGAAGCACATTTTTCAGATCATCTGGCCTATTCTCAGGAGGTATGTATCAGAAATTTGAAATTGTATCTCCAGTTTGCAAAATAATCTATTAGAGCGTTGTTTTAATGGCATTTATATCCTGCACAGACAGAGCACAGGGAAGTGTTTGACCTGAAGAACAGTGGATGACAAGTTAGGGAAGGGCATACCAAGCAGAGAGTACAGTCTGGACAAGGGCACACAGGGTGAGGAAACATGAAACATGAACATCCCTGGGATGTTTGGTGCTACGGCAAGTGTAGTGAGAGCTGAGGCTGGGGAGATAGTGTGAGGTGGCTAGTCCATCACATTCGGGGGAAACTGTGGCATATGTGCAATGAGTAGGAAGTAATATTGATTAGCTTTATTGTGGGAAGGTACATCTATTTTAATATTTTGTCAGGCTGCAGTTCTGAGTAGCAGCTAGGAGGGGGAAGTGGGAGAATGAGGGTGGGGAAGGAACGATTTATACTCCCCAGAGTTCTTCCTGAAACCCTTCATCTTGGAGAACCCTAGGATGTTCTCAGCAATGACCTGCACAGGGTGAGTTGAGGCCAGATCCCTTCAGCCTTTCCTTAGGCCTTCTCCCCAGACTAGCCTGGGTCATTCAGCAATGTGCCCAAGCCAACCAGCAATCAGGCAGCCCTGCAGCTGGCACATGGCCAATATAACTTCACACCTCTAAAGTAGGCCATATATGCCACTCATGGGGATTCCTCACAGCCTTGATTTACAATCTGTCAGGAATTGGAGAATGGCTGGCCTAGCTAGAAAGAACTATGGCAAGCATCTGGTCTGGGAATGGGGGTAGCGGCTCTGAACTCTACCAATGTTTACAAAGTGTCCTTCGCCTGGACTTGCAGACAAGGGGCTATGTGTGAAGGGTATGTGCAGAGCAAGTATAGTATCAGGTAGCAGTATAGAGGGAGAAGGGTGGGGTGTGGAAGGCCAAATCCCATCTTCCATGTGGGAACAGGCCGAACATCTCATTGGTGAATTTCCTTACTCCTGTTGGATAAACTTACCACAGGAGCAGGACTTAAAGAGGTGATAACTAGCAAGGCTTGAAATTTCCCCAAATTGTCAAAGGAAGCCAAAGGGGTGGCATTTACCAATTCTTGGACAGGAAAGCAGAAAGGGGTTAAAACAATCCAGACATTGTCCAGCAAGAAAGGCCTTGTAGTTGGCACAGGGAAAGGCCATCAATGGACAGGAATTCTCCAGGGCACTGATGTAGAGGTACACAGCCCTCATGTGATCACAGATCAGGTAACTGTAGCCTGAACAAGGTAAAAACACAACCAAGATTTTAGTTTAAGACAAATGAAAATCCCTCCATGCTACTTACTATAACTCTATTGAATTTTATATTCCAGCAGGCTACAAATACATGGGATGTCTCCTGAGCCACATTTTTAAATGTTAATGGACATGGCTACTGTGTTCTTCCTTTTCCTTTTCCAGAGATACCTAAGCTTAATCTATCAAAACTACTGCTTAATTTGAGATCCATTCTTCCATGATCATGCAAACTTTCTTTCAAAAAATGGGAGCTTACAGATAGTTGGTGATCTTTACCCACTTCTCAGAATGAATATCTGTCTACACATTTTACCTTCTTCATCATCACCCACAAAACCAAATTTTTTACAACCTCCTGATACTCAATCCAGTGATGAGACAACCAATGGAGTCAGCTCTAGGGTTCTGAAGTCTTCAGATTCCCCCTTCACCTTGGGACACCCCACACTGGGACCAGTAACCATGTCTGAGCTGTGTGTCAACTTTCTTTTTTGCATGGCTGGCACACTCTCTATGGGCAGGCTCCTTCCAACTACAACAGGGAGCTGGGGAATACAAACTAAAGCCTTTTCAAATTATGTTTTATGAAGAAAAATGAAAAGTGGCCAAGTGAAATATCACAGAAATACTCAAAAGCCATTAAAACCAAACTATTCCATCTGGTAAAAAAAAAAAAAAAATGCTGGTAAATCTACAGATTGTGAAAAGAAACATGTTTTTGAATAATCAATGAATTTGGTAAATTAGATTAGTGGTTATTCAATAAAATTATAAATAGGATCTTTAAAATGTCAAAAATTTGGTAAAACAAGAAAAGACTAAAACCATAGTAATCAGAAATCGGGATAAAATTCCCATAAGAAATGCTAATAGGTTGGCTATGTTCATAAGAAGAAGGTAAGATTAAACAACCTTGATCCTTTTATCTTTAGACAAATTTAATATTATTTAAAATAATGCTAAGAAGAATGAATTAAAAAAGAACATTCCAGAAGAATATAGTTGACCCTTGAACTTAATTATTAATAGCCTACTGTTGGCCAGAAGAAGCCTTACTAATAACATGGAAAGTTGATTAGCACATATTTTGTATAAGTATTATACTATATTCTCACAGTAAAGTAAGCTAGAGAAAAGAAAATGTTGAGAAAAATCATAAGGAAGAGAAAATATATTTACAGTACTATACTGTATTTATAAAAAAATCTATGTATAAGTGGACATGTACAGTTTAAATTCATGTTGTTCAAGCATCAATTGTGTATTTAGAAAAGAAGTTGTATATTTTTTATTAAGTTTATTTTGAGAGAAAGAGAGGGCAGGGAAGGACACACAGAGAGAGAGAGAGAGAGAGAGAGAGAATTCCAAGCAGGCTCTGCACTGCCAGAGCAGAGCCCAACACAGGGCCTGAACTCATGAACTGTGAGATCATGACTCAAATCAAAAACAAGAGCCAAACGCTTGCCACCTGGGTGCCCAAGAAATGTATATTTATTGAATGTACTCAAGAAGATTAACTTAAAAACAATTTTGGGGAACTGTCAAATTTAGTAAGTAATCAGTGAATTGATCCTTGCAGCTAGCCAGCTTTGGGTGTGTCGTTCTCCTTCTGCCACAACTAGGCTCTGCAGAGAGGATGCAGCCAGTTTGGACCCCGCCATAAAGCACGGCCCAGGAAGAATAGGGTTTATTAGCTTGAGTGATGATGTATCACTGCAGGGCTTAAAAAGTGGGGAGGACAGGAGAAGTATGGTGTACACTTCTAATTTCAGGCACTCCTCCCCCAGAATTCCTGGGCTCCAAAGACATCCATTCAATAAGTGCTGAGAAAGACATTATGGGGAATAACAAAGGATAAGAGAAGGAAGATCCCCCTGTGGTCCACACTGGCTGACTCAACATGAAGACTGCTGGTGAATTCCAGCCTCTGGGGCAGAACCCCAACTCTGGTTTTCTAACCTGCATGAATGAAAGTGGGACAGCCAGGTTGGTCTTGGCCTCCATTGACGAAGTAGTCCACATGTCCAACAGGAATCCGAATACCTGCATCTGGAAGGAGGCAGAATCCCATTACTTCTGATTGCAAGGGCTTATTTTCCAGGCCCCACTGTAGGGTCTACTAGCAGCAGAGCCCGAGCTCTGCCTTTGGGAGCCCACCCACTCTGTGTGCTCCTTGGGTGCCCACCTCACTCCTAAGTGCTGTGACACTGAAGAACCTGCCTTCAGTTTTCTAAAGGTGTTTTTCTACACTGGAAGGAAGCAAAGAAGAATAAAGCCATGAGAAGATATTCATATTTGTCTAATAAATTGGAGAAAATTAACTCTTAACATAAGTTTTTATAAATCACTAAATGTAACAAGCTTGGTACATTTCCTTGTCAAACACTATTTATTTTGTTTTGAGCAAGAGTTCACATATGTGTGTGGGGCCACATTTCCACAGTCTCCTTCATATTTTTGTGCTTTTATGACTGAGCAGAAATAAGACCTGGCTAATGTGAAAGACTGTAGCCCTCATCTCATCATTGTGACCATATCTGACTCCTCAGATAGGGCCAGAGCCAGCTGCCAAAGACCCCAATTTTCCTCTTCATAACATCTTTCCCCTTCTCACATCTATTGCTACTGTAAGTGATTGGTTGTGTGTTATTAGTTTATTGGCATCTATCCAGGGGTTAAGCAATGACCTGGAAGTTATGCTTGCTTCCTCTCTTTTTCTTATTCCCTACACTTAGCTCATCACTTGTCTGATCAACTCTACCTTCCAAAATACATTTTAAATCTTTCTTTTTTCTGTTTTTTAAAGGGTTTTTTAAAAATGTTTATTTATTTTTGAGAGTGAGAGTGAGGGGTGGGGAGGGGGGACAGAAGATCCAATGCAGACTCTGAGCTGACAGCAGTGAGCCCAGTGTGGAGCTTGAACTCAAACTGTGAAATCACGACTTGAGCTGAAGTTGGATGTTTAGCCAACTGAGCCACCCAGGTGCCCCTTGAATCTTTCTACTTCTTTCTGTCTCTACTGCCCCACCTCTGCATAAGCCACCACCATCTCTTGGCCTCTACTGCAAACACCTTCTAATGAGCCTCCAGGCTCCCCTTAGTATCCCCTGAAGCCTATACTGTGGACATCAGCCACAGTAATCTTTACAGGAAATCCTAATCGCCTTCCTCTTCTCACTGCCTGTAGAATAAAATGTAAACTCTTCACCATGGTCAGCCTGGTCCTCCTCCCTCTTCTCTAGCCTCACTCCCTGCTCTATGATCACGTGATTTTCTTTCCTGTCCCCCACCCACGTCCAGGCTTTCGTTTTGGCTGTTCTCTCCACCTTGAATGTTCTCCCAGCTTTTCCCACAGCCGGCTCATTCTCATCCACAAAGTCTCACCTTAATTATCACTTCCTTGGACAGACTTTTCTCAATAATCCTTCCTGAAGTAACACCCCCCGCCCCAGTCACCCTCTGCCCAACTTCCTCCATCATCATACTCATAGTGTGTAATAATGTCTGTTTACTTGCCTGTAAGCTCTACAACTTACAGCAGGGACTTGGCCTTTTTTCTGCTATATACCTAATACCAGCATCGTAGCTGTTACGTGTGAGTACCTAATGTTTATTAAAGGAAGTAATGAATGAATTCCCTCTCAATTAGTCTGTGTTTCCATGTGGGCAGGGACCTTCTTCAACACCTTGTGTGTTGCATTCTCAGTGTAACTACATAGCTCAATGAAAATTGGTTAAACAAATGGAATAATTTTTTTTTCTGGTCACATTAGGAAGAGGCTCCAACTCTGAAAGAGACTGAGAGGCCTCCCTCTGGTAACTGGGGACCTAACAAGTCACCTATTTAGCAAATTTAGAAACAGAAGGAGTTGACCTAGATAATTAACATGATTAACCCAACAGCAAGGCAGAAGCCTGTGGTTTGCTTTCTTAATTGTGAGATGACAAAGTTGGGAAAGAGGATTGAATTATATGACTGCATGGGTCTCTTCCAGAATTATGAATCAATCTGCTAAAAAGAAGGCTTCTGAACAAAGAGAATGAGACATGGACACCTTGCTCTTAAACTGCAGACTCTTTTGGTGAGGGATAGGCATTTATTGCTCTCATACCCACAGTGCTGAGCACAAGGCCTGGCTAACTCCTGGGCATTATTTTAAAAATGTTTTATTTATTTCTGAGAGAGAGAGAGAGAGAGCGTGAGCAGGGGAGGGACAGAGAGAGAGGGAGACACAGAATCCGAAATAGGATCCAGGCTCTGAGCTGGCAGTCAGCACAGAGCCCGACGCGGGGCTCAAACCCACGAACTGTGAGATCATGACCCTAGCCGAAGTAGGACGCTTAACCGACTGAGCCACCCAGGTGACCCTCCTGGGCATTTTATATCAAGTAGAAATGAGGAGGAATACCCATCCTCTTTTCCAGCTAGCTCAATTTGGCCACAATGGATTCGAAGTTGGGGGTCTTTCCTTGTCTGTCACTATTGGAGGGGTTATTTCTCTTCCCTGGGGAGGAGGAAAGGCTGGCTCCTCCCAGGGGAGCAGGAAGTCCCAACAGGTCTCAGTATCTGCCCCAGAAGTGGAATGTCCCAATCCCATGGGGCCAGGCACATTCACCCTGAAAAAAAGCAGTATGACTTTCCCCTATGGCAGCCAGGCAGCAATGTCCTCCCCAACACAGCTTTGTCACAAGGGTTAGTGTTAATCAGAGATCAAGATGATGCTGGTAAACTCCTCACTGCAACAGAAGCTCATAAGAGAGGGAATCTGCCCAGAGCTACACAGGTAGATGCCAGCTTCCTAGCCCTTGCCATGCTCATCCCCCACCATCCCAGGAGGGTCACCTCTACTCACTGTCAGTGTCTGTATGGAAGGCCTCCACAAAGAGGGCATCTCCAGGGTCCAGGCGCTCCTCAAGGCTGGCTCTGGTGTACTCTGGTCCAGCGGGGTCCAGGCCTACTAGGACAGACTGATGTCAGGGGCTCCTTTCATCTTAGCTGCAGGAACCTTCATGGACCCACCACACACCTCTCTGGGAAGCCCTTCCTGGTCAGATCCTAGAGTCCCCCAGCAAGGATCCAAAGGCAAGAGACCAGCTCAGGACCACTGTATCCAGGAAAACACATGCTGTTGTCTTTAACTCTCAATGACCCAGCTTCTCTCGCTCTGAAATGAGCCCAATTGGTAAGGGCTAATGTGAGTAATATTAATCCTCATGTACTCATAACAATAGCTATAATTTTTTAAGCAGTTACTATGTGCAAGGCCTTGTGCTAGTCTTCATAATAACACAGTAAAGTAAAAATTACTATCCCCAGGTGTTAGTTTGGGTCTCTTTTCGTCTTCCTCCCCAGGGCAGATCCTGAGACAAAGATCTAAAGCACAAGTAGCTTTTTGGGAATAGATCACAGAAAACATAGTGAAGGAATGGAAAAAAAAATCAGAGCATGGAAAAAAAAGTATTCAATGTATTATCACTTTGGTCAACTTGGTCTCATTCCACTGGGACCCTTCTGAGAGGCTCCGTAGAACATGACTCAGAATTGTCCCACAGAAGAGCCAGAAAGCAGAGGTATTTACCACACAACTTTAGTCCCTCAATGTTTGAGGGTAGCTTCTAAAGCATAAAGTCCCCAGTGTTTTGCAAGTATTTAGCATAATTGTCTAATGGTGATTTCCACAGTGGGCCAAGAATGTATGAGCTATTACAACTAATTTTGTAGAAGTAGTAACTGAGGCTCAGAAAGAAATACATGGCTTTTTATACTGACATTAGAGATTACACAATGACAACACAATACTGTTTTATGTAAAGGGCCACAGTAAATAAATTTTAGTGGAAATAAATGAGTCAGTCCTAAGAACAAAGATCCTTCTGCTTGCCTCAGTAGAGGGATTTCCAGAGCATTCTCTCCTTATCTCCAAACTTGGGATGATGGGCAGAGAATAATGTTACCTGTGATCCGTCCTAACTGGCCTTCGTAGAAATATCCCACCACGCCCCCAACGTGGGCTCCCAGGCTAACACCAATGATGTGGATTGAGGACTTTGACACACCCAGCACCTAGAATGGGGCATTTACAAGTGAGTTGCATTTGGACCATGGCAGCCGAAGCCTCACAGTGTTACACTTTTCCCTGAAGCTTCAGAATCTGAGGACCCCGAGCATGATGTACCCACCACACATGATTTGGGGGAAAAAGGCAGAATTTCCATTCCATTCACCATGCACCCTCTTCCTAGAAACCTCACCTTGATGACTGCCTCACTTTCTCTTTGTTGCCCAATGTGTGTGAGTAATGGCCATGGCCATTACTCCCTATCTAACACGCAGTGGCACGTTTTACAGAGGAGGGACGAGAGGCTCAGAGAGGGCCAACTACTTGCCCAGAGTCAGCACTGTAAGTGATAAAGTTGAGATTAGAATCAAAGACTCACAAGCCAGTAGGTAGCTCTGCTTCTGCCCTAAAGCTCCTCCTCATATGTTGATTCTTTCTGTTTCTTTTCTCCCCCATAAGCAGCCAAAACTCCTCCCAAAGCTTTTGTGTACCTACCAGTAGTTTCTTGAGGAAACGGGAGATCTCTAGGCCCAGCTTAACCACATTCTGCACAGCTGAGAAGTAGATACCCGTTGAGCCATAAACCCAGTCCACAGCAATCACATTAGCATTTGCTGCCTGAAGAACGGCACTGATGAATTTATCAATCCAGGAAGGCTTTGTACCTAAAGCCCTAGACAAGGGGCCAAGAAAGGATGGGAAAATTATCTGCCAAGCCAATATCCATTGCAATGACATTCTCTATTAACAGAATAAACCCAGGGGGGACAAAAGATCAACATCAGTCAGGAAGATCTATGGGCAATAAATCCTATACTACTTTGGGCCTAGGGAGAACATAATCTAAAGTCACCAGGGCTTCTGCCTGCATATATGGAGCCTTTGTATAAATTATAAAAGGGTGCCTTTTGCTCTAGGTAGATGCAGCCTCATGCCTGGGCTCAGAACTCAAGTTGGGCTCCAGCCCCACCACCCCTCATTTAGGTACCTTTGGACAATGGATACCTCACAAACCATATGTACTGACACTGCTTGTGTTATGTATAGGAAAAAAAGAGATAGCTTTGTACCTTAGAGTTAAGATTTGCCATCTTAATTCTCATTCTATAATACATGCACTTCCCTTGGGATGCCTGGGTGGCTCAGTTGGTTAAGTGTCCAACTTCAGCTCAGGCCATGAACTCACAGTTCACGGGTTCAAGCCCCTCATCAGGCTCTGTGCTGACAGCTCAGAGCCTGGAGCCTGCTTCAGATTCTGTGTTTCCCTCTCTGCCTGCCTCTCCCCTGCTCTCACTCTGTCTCTCTCCTTCTTTCAAAAATACATAAACATTAAAAATATATTTTAAAAAACATATCCACTTCCCTTGCAGAATGTTTTTTATGTACTTGTTCTTTTGGTCATCCTTTCATTAATTCAGTGAGTCAGGAAGTATTCTAGGTGCTTTGTGAGAAATAAAGAAAAATAAGATACAGTTTCTATTCTTCTGGAACTTAGAGCATAATAGTGTTTTTCTAGGAAAAGGTAAATGATAGAAAACATCTCATAAAAATTTCCCAAGAGTTTGGAATCTGAAGCTTTCTCAGTGGCCACAGTAAGGGCATGCTCATGTAGGCAGAGGAGCACAACTGGGTGTGTGACATATAAAGTGGATTTCAGAGGACCTAGGAGCAGGCAGAGTGACAGCCACTGAGCTCTCCCGCTTTATTAGCTATCTCTGGGTTGGGGAAACACACACAGCCTTTGATAGTGGTTGAATAGAAGATTTGCTGGAGAAGAGACTTTGGCACAAGAGTGAGGAAGAATATACCAAAGGAGGTATAGGGTCAGGTTCTCAGGGTTCAGAGATTTGGGAAGCAGAGAGAACCCAGAGGCCATGAAATGGTGATCCTTTGTGCAGTGCCTTTGCATCCACCTCTTCATTGGACGCCCCCATCTCTAGTTGCTCTATACCACTACTATTTTCACTGCATTTTCTCCCTTTTTCTCCCACCAACCTTCTTCTGTTTTAGGCCTTGTCAGTGGGCTCTGGAGAGAAGATGCTGGAAGGAAGGATGGTGGTTGAATTGAGACTCAGTCACTACATATTATAAAATTTGGACGATAGGGCATCAAAGAAATCAAACCTGAGAAAGGTTAGCCTCAGGAGATGATGCAAGTAGCACCCATGGGTGGAAGTTTCTTAAGTCATGAAACCAGAGAAGAAATGAAGAAGAGGAAATAAAACCCTGGATAAAAACACCATGCTGTTACTCTGATTACACACATCCCTATGACCTCACTGGCTAAGATGAATCATATAACCCATGCTTCAGGAAGGAAAGGATCAACGGAGACCATTCCTACAACTTCCCTTTTATTCAGATGTGGAAACCAAGGCTTTGTGTGCTGGGGCCACACATCTAGGGTCATACATATTTACTGTTTAAGAGCATGTAGATAAGACTGAGCAGAGGAGAAATATACATGACCAAAAGGAATAAACAACATAATGCGTGTTCATATTGATATGAGAGACCTTCAAAGACAGCAGGAGGTGAGAGATAAAACATGTGACTTTCAGTTAGTCCATTTCTCTCCTCTTGCTCCCCACTAACTTCCTGTGGCCTAATGGTCACTCTCTAGTTCTTAATGGAGATGATTCTATTGGTTGATTACTCCCACCTGAATCCATGGATGATTAGTTTGGTTCCCAGAGAGGCATTAAACCCAGAGTTTTGGATGTCACTACTTTCCTGCACTAGCCGACCACAGCTAGGATCCAAAGGGGTGAAGAGGAGAAACTGGACTTTGAGACTGGTGCCTTGGAGAAGATTAGCATTCTGAAAGTCAGTGCACTTTGTCTGTGGGATAGGTGGTGCATCTCCTGAAGGAAAAAACAAAAAGAAAAACAAGACATATTAAGGGTGAGGTCATCTGTTCTTAGGAGGAAGACAACTGTTCTTGATACCAAGAGACAAACAGGTGCTTACCAGCATTTATAATAAATCAGCTAGTATAATATTTAGAATGGCTTATTAAAGACATCACTTCTGTAACCAAAATCTGTGAATAGTTTTCATATCTAAAGACACATAGTCAGAAAAAAGATATATTACTCACCTAGAGAGATTAAAGGCCATGGTGAAGTGGATATTGTCATGAGATAAACTGAGTTCCCTCAACCATAAATCCATTTGTTGAAGTCCTAACCCCAGGACCTTAGAATGTGACTGTATTTGGAGATAGAGTCTTTACATGAGATAAATAGAGGTATTTATGCTAAAATGAAGCCAATAGGGTGAGTCCTAATCCAGTATTGTTGGACACAGACACAGAGAAAAGACACATGTGCAGACACTTGGAGTAAATGGTCAACTGCAAGGCAAAATATAAGTCAAATAATGTCACACTTCTATGCAAAAGAGGGCCTTTCCCTCAGAATGAAATCTGAAGTCCTAACATCAGACTAAAGCCCCAAATGGTCTAAACAATGAGCTCTGGTAGAACTTTGCCTGTCTGACTATTGCCTGTCTAACTATTGCTTCCTCCATTCTGGCCACGTGTCTTCCCAGCTCTTCCTCACTCTACACAGGTCTAGACCACCTGAGGGTCTTTGCACCAACCATCCCTTCTGCCTGGAGTGTCTTTTTCAGAGACATCCACATGGCTAACACCCTCTTCTCTTTCAAGGCTTTGCTTGTCAAGTGTAACTACCTTGTTTAAATTGCCACCTGCCTGTGCTCCTCACCCCCGTTCTCTCATCCTGATCTACTCTAGCAATCATCACCTTCTAACCTCCTATGGAATTTACTAGTTTATTATTAAATTCATTGCTTACTGATTTCCCTACATTAGGATATGGTTTCAAAGAAGGCAGGAATTTTTATCCACTTTGTTCACTCTACCTCCCAGAATAGGGTATGACACACATAATAAACATGAAAAGCTACTTCTTTGAAAAGAATGATAAACTAGATGTACTTTTGATAAGACAGAGTAAGACAAAAAGAGGGAAGTCACAAGTAAATAATATAGAGAATAAAAAGAGGATATACAGTAGACTTTTTAAAAATGTTAAAGAGCATGTTTATACCCACCCAAAATTAAAATTACAGATATTTTCCTAGAAAACAGATAATTTCCTAGAAAATATAGCTTACTGAAACTTAGTCAAAAGAAAAAATAGAAAGTCAAGTGTAAACTGGTAGCATGAGGGAATTGAAACAGTAGTTTTCTATTTATTTGTCAAAAAAAACCTCTACCAGGCCAGAAGGTTTTACAGAAAAATTCTACTTCAATTCTACTTCAATTCCTATCACTGTTCCAGAGAACAAAAATGGGGAAAATCTAAATTCATTCTATAAAAATAACCAAGATATCCGAATTGGACAAGGACAGAAGGAGAAAGGAAAATGAAAGGCCAATTTCACTATTAAACACAGACATAAAGACCCTGGATAAATTATCAGCAAATCTAAGCCCATCAAAGATAATATGCACAAAAAAATACATCATGGCCAAGCAGGGTTTAATCCAAGATGTGAAAAGATGCTTAACATTAGAAGATATATTAACGTACTTCACATATGAAAAATTAAAGAGAAAAACCCATATGCTAATCTCAATAGATGGAGAAGAAAAAGCACTAATTTAATACCCAACACTTCTTAACTTAATAAAAATTTAATATTCAACACTTCTTAACCTAATAAAAAGAATTAACCAAGAGCCTATCCAATGACCATATTTATAGGTGAAACATTAGAATTAAAACTGGGAACAAATGAGAATGTCTGCTATCAGTGCTTCTATGAAATATTGTACTGAAAGTTCTAATCCAAGCCAGGGAAGCAAGAGAATAAAATGGAATCAAAGTTACAAAGTTTGAAAAGGAGGAGAGAAAATTGCCAATATTTGTAGATATATAGTAAAACTTTCAATCGTTCGAGAGTATGGAAGGTGGCACAGTGAATCATGCTCTGATATCCCCTCTCCTCAACCACCACTCCAACCAAAGACTAATCACAGATGAATATCAAAAGAGAAGAAAGACACAGACAATCTCAAATATAAAGATTATATCTCTGCGGACAAGAACAAGAACAGAATTGCAAGATGGTTCTGGGTTCCTGTTCTGGGAGAAGGCAGTGGCTGTGAGGATTCAACTCTGTGAAGTAAGTGGGGCGGGGGGGGGGGTGTCCAGTAGTGCTTGGTGTCAGGTGTGGAAGGTCAGCCTCAGGCCACCTGTGGTAGCCAGTGGTGAGAGGGGCTCCCCAACTCCATAAAGGAAGCTAAAAACAAAAGCAATACAACCAAAAAGTAGCTATTGACTTCTTACCTGGGCCTATAGCTTTATTTAGGGAGACAGATGGAAAGACAAGGCCTCGCTAAGAAGAGCTGAGACAAACCCCCTTGACTGGAGGAGAAAGTCTAAAGATGGGAAGGAGGTGAGGCGGTGGGGGAAAGAGGTAGAGGAGGCCATAAACAAAGTTCTCATTGAACACTGAAATAAACCTAATCTATTATTAGATCTATTAGAAATGAAGATAATAGTTATCTTTGGGGTGGTAGTGATTAAGAGGGGATATGTGGAATGGGTTTTAAGAACCTGGTAATGTCTTATTTCTTGATTTGGATGATGGTTACACAGGTGAGAGAATTCACTGGGAAAATTCATTAATCTGTGTATTAATAATCTGTGTACTTGTCTGTATATATGTGTACTTCAATAACGAGTTTACTTAAAAATAGAAAGCCTGTAAACAGAATGCCTAAATTTATACAGAAATTGAATGTTTACAAAGTTAGTCAATAAAGCCAATAAGTGGATCATAAATTTATTCCAAGTGAAATAAGTTTTTAAAAGCCTTTGACATAGACTTTTAAATAAATATGCTGAGAACTCACAAGGATAAAAATAAAGACAGTGCATATGAAATTATGAAATTGAAAACACAAATATATAATAAGATTTAAAGGAAAAACCTAGGTGAAAATTAGAAATGAAAAAGATAACCATTGAAATAAAAAAGGAATCAATACTGTAATGTTTAGGACAGAAGTCAAAGAAACTTTTAATATGAAAGTATAGTCAAAAAGTACAGACAATAGATGGAGAGGTTCAATTTTTATCTCATAGCTGCTCTCTAAAGGAAGCAAATAGGAGAACAAGCACTATTTTGAAAAGATAATTGTTAAGAATTTTCCGCAACTAAAAAAAGATATGATTTCTCCAATCAAAATTTGTATTCAGGGTAATGAGTGAGAAAAATAAATAAATCTCCACTAGGTGGGTTATAGTATATCACCAGAATATCAAAGAAAAAAGATACTTTTGAAAATTCCCAAATGCATTGGAAAACTTAGAACAAATGGATAATTTTCTAGAGAAATCCAATTTAGTGAAACTTACTTGAGAAGAAAGAGTAAGCCCAAATAAAACTAGCATCAAAGCATTAAGTTGGTAATCAAGAGTCTTTTCTAACTCTAAAGTACACTAGAGCTAGATAGTTTTATCTGAGAACTGCACTGCTTAAAATACAGTCTTTATCTTATATAAACTGTTTATAAAATAGACACTTACTTCATGAGGTTTTAATAATCTTAGTATTAACTAGACAAGGGTAATACAAGAAAAGAAAACAACAGGTAAATTTTCTATGGACATAGAATCAAAATAATATGTAAACATATACAAAAACAAAAATAAATTTTGGCAAAATAAAATTCAGTATTATATTTAAAAATGCACCATGATTAAAGGATTTTTCCCTGGTGATCTTAGCCTGATTGGGCTAGCCATTAGTGCTAAGAAGACAATATGAAAAATTGCCTTTATAGTATGATTGCTTAAACAAGACACCAGAAGCACAAATCATAATAAGAAATAAGAATTAAGACAACAACGTAATATTATTTTTTCTATCAGGTTGACAATATGAAAAATATTTGATACTGAGAAGTATTGCAAAGAAGTGGGGAACCAACCATGCACATATACTAATAAATAGTTATAATTTCTTTGCAGGCAATATTTTCCACATCTATCAGAAATTTTGGGTAGTGGATTAGCAAGGACATTCACCATTCTCAGTGACAAAATCTTGGTTAGTCTGGAAATTTTTAACTTAAAATAAAATATATCTTGGTACAGTGGATATTTATAGGGTGAATGCAAACGATATTTTGAAATTAATTCAATATTATTTTCTTATAGTCTTGTGCTGGGTAAAGAGGATTAATGCAGCTTTTAGGGAAACGAGTGCAAGAACTAGGGGACTTGAGAAAGTGTCCTGGTCGCCACCAATCCCTTTATGATTATAAGGTTTTTCCCTCCCTCTTCTAAATTCATCTCAAGAGAAATCTTTTAGGGGACCCTCCAAATGTTAGTACGGCATAAATAGATGGTTTAGGAAGTAGAACTACTGACTGAAAGAAATTCCACCCAAGGACCGAGTCCCTGAATTACCTGCACTTCCAATGCTGAGCCACAAAAGGAGTCCCCACGACCAGAAGCTTCTCTCCCCTAGGCCTGGGGACATTGCTGAACTGGAGGTCTCAGAGCTGGAGTGAAGCCGAACCCTAATGCCAAAAGAGATCACAGAAGCCTGCCTCTTGAAGTTTTGGATACCAAACACTCACTTGGGTCTCGCTGATCATTAACTGGCCTCATGACCTGTAGAAGAAAAATAAACTCTCCCTATTTGTCTAACCTCCACAGTTTTCTGGTTTCTTCTTCCCAATGAAAATAAATACACTTTTCGTTTTTTAGGCAGGGGACACTGAAACACATTGTCCTTCCTCTCTGAGCCAAACATCATCAGGAAATTATTTCCTGCCCCTCTCCCACTTCCTATTATAAAATGTTAGTAAAAATCCAGGCAGAAGTCTTTCATCTCTAGGTGATGACAAAACCGACAGAATTATAGTGGACATTGTTTGTCTCCCTAGGAAGACTCTGAGCGACTTGAGGGCAAAGACCTTCTCCTTTCATTATGAATCCCCAGGACCTAGAATAGAACTGGACCAATAATATGTGGTTAAAATATATTTAACAGAAAGAGTGGAAAAATAATGAATTTTGCCTCTGACAGTACTATCTTTTCAAAGACTCTAGGAGCTAGAAGTAAAGCCCATCCTCTTAAAAGAGATGTTCAGCTTCTTAAATTCACGAATAAAGAAACTGAATAATAGGCAAAGAAAGTGACCTATTGCAACCCTGTTCAACGTGGCTGCACTGGCCTGTAACTAGGGCGTTTCCAGTGCATCGCACGTCCTCTTCACCAAAAGGAGTGGCAGAAACCACAGAGAGCTAATTCTGGGCAGGTCAGGGGAAAGGGGAAGGCAAGGTACTTGCCCAACACTCCTTAAATTGTAGTGCCCTGCTTTGAGGAGGAACCTGCCAGCAGGGCACTACCACACTTTCTGGACAGTAGCTCTGTGAGGTATGTGCAGCTTTAGAGCATAGAGAGGCTAAGTAACTTGCACAATGTCATGTAGAATTGTGACAAACTAATCCCAGCGGCCATGCTCTGCACCTCTGCACCGGACAGTAACAGTCCCCAAGAAAGCCTTGGCGCTATGTCATCATGGCTGTGTCAGGTCTGCTCAAGATGTGGGTAACGTGACTTTGGAGAGGTCAGCCCTTGCTTGCCCTGGTGCATGTGATCCCACTACTCTAGCACTGCTGCCATCAGGAAGGAGAGGGGCTATAAATAGGGCACTACTGAAGACTGCTCTGGTGTTACAGACCATGCCAGGTGTGGTAGTCTGGCTCCTCAGAGAAGAGACGCCATGATGGGGCTCGATGTGCAAGAGACTTACTGTAGATAACACGTGAGAAGAATAAGAGATTCTGAAGAAGGCAGAGACAGGCACGTGAAGGCCATGATTCAAGTCTGACACCTGTGAAGAAGAGGAAATGGATGACACAGGAAAAGTCTTGGACTGGCCTCACAGTTCCTGGAATGTTCTGGCAAGGTCAATGGAGAATCCTCAAGCTGAAGTTTCGTTCTTTCTTTTTATTTTTTTTTAAGGAATTTTTCTTAAGTTTATTTATTTATTTTGAGAGAGAGAAAGCACGAGCAGAGAAGGGGCAGAGAGAGAGGGAGTGAAAAAAAACCCCAAAACCCAGTCTCCGCACAAAGCCAAAGGTGGGGCTCAAACCTAGGAACCGCAAGATCATGATCTGAGCCAAACCAAGAGTCGGACGCTTAATGACTTTACCGGCCGACTGAACCACCCAGGGGCCCCTGGCTTGAGTTTCTTGTTAATAAAATCCTGTCTTACAGGAATGAACCTGATTAGCATCTCCACGCTGCTCAGTCACTAGTCAGGGTCAGTCTCAGCACAAAGATGAGGATAGATCCAGAAACGCCATAACTGGGACCATGAATCAATTAGGTTCCCTGGGGGCAGGAGGCTGAGGGCTGCATCTTCATAGCCGCTCACACCACGGCCAGAGCTGGCACACCAAGCCAGTTACTTCCGTTATTCCAGCACAGTATTCCTTGTGGGTGGCATTAATACAGCTGACACTTAGCACCTTCCCTTGCCCCTTCGTCATCTAGTATGTACTCTTCAAGTAGGGCTGGAGTGCTCCTGTGTGTAGGACCACCTGTCTCAGCGTCTTCCAGGGAAACTGGAGTCCATGGGCCTGGAGCTTCAGAGGCCCTGAGAGAGGGCACTTGCCTGAGACCACTCAGCTGCTACAGATGATGACACCGAGACACAAAAAGGGGAAGTAGGAACCTTAAATAGGGTGGGTGTAATCAAGCACAGTGCAGAGAGAGGAGTCCTAAGCATGGCTCAAGCATTGGATGGAGTCTCTTCGGTGTCAGAGGAAGAGGAGGCTCTCTGAGGAGGGAAGGGGAACCGCGGGGAGTGTGAAGACTGTCCATTTCACAGTCTGACCTGGGCTCCACTCTGCCACTCCCTACCCCTGCCCCCAAATGTGGATCTCAAGCCCTCAACGAGCTTTCTCTCTGACTTCACCTCATAGTTGTGAGAAGGTGAAGAGAGGGCACAGTCTCCTGCCATCACCATGTAACTCTTGGGTTTCATTTTGGCCTTGACTAAGGAAAACTTTCTAACTACAGCTAACAGTTGCAGTGTGATAGGATTGGAGACACATGGCCTGGGTTTAAACCCCAGCTCCTTCTCACCCTAGACATGTGACTTTGGACAGATGGAAGCTTCTCTGAGCCCAATTTCTTCATCTGCTAACGGGTTGTAGTAAACCCCTGACACTTGGTAACTTGTTCTTTCTCCTCTTCTTTTTCCTTCTCCAAATGGAAAGAGTCCAACCTATACCCTAGGTGTCACTTCTCCCAACTCCCAAACCCCCAAAATGGAAAATGATGACAAGGCTCCACACTATGCCCTCTCTGGTTGACCCCTGGATCCCTAATCAGACCCCAGCAGCCATCCCATGAGGAGCTGATCCAGTAGGCTGATTGGTTGTGAAATCATCAGAATCTCCATTCCTTCCCCCTCACTTTCAGTAGCTCTGTGGCTATTAAAAAAACAAAAACAAAAACAAAACCACATTTACTTGCCCTGGAGGTATAGAGGGGAGTAAATGGAGAATATGGTGGCTGAAGAAGATTGGAGGAGGGTGGATGTAGCCAATGCTAATTTTGCAGCTCTCAAAAAAAATATTGCCAAGACTTCTGGATAACATCTAACAATCTTAGGTAACAATGAAAGAAAATGAAGAACCATCATATCGCAGGTCAAAAACATATCATTAATCCCTGTAATGTTACATGTGTTGTATTCTCTTTTTTAGTACACACATCTTAATTTGATAAGCATGATAAATTCATACTGTGTCATTTTTTTGGAGAGAGACAGAGATAGAGCATGCAAGTGGGGGAGGGGCGGAGGGAGAGGAGAGAGAATCCCAAGCAGGCTCCACACCCCATGTGGGGCTCCATCTTATCAACTGTGAGATCATGACCTGAGCCAAAATCAAGGGTCAGACACTTAACTGACTGAGCCACCCAGGTGCCCCTCAGGTCATTTTTAAAATTTATTTTAACATCATGCATATGATTAAGTTTATTATCTCTTTCCTCTATTCTCCTCCTCCCTTCGTCTACACACACACACACACACACACACACACACACACACACTGGCACCTAGCACTCCCAGTAGGAGCAAAGGTAGACACCTTGAGCCAGATGCAGGTGGTAGGCAGAGGTAGTGAGGGGACTGTGCAGTTGTTCTTTTCTGGTTGCTTCTCTTTTCTCAGAGAAATAGCAAGCAAGGTCACCAGTTGAAAGTAAGGTTTGAAGAGGAGATTTTGAGGTTTAGGAAGAAAGAGTCTGAAGGACTGAGCTCTTTTTCAAGTGTGCCCGTGATGAAGACAGAGAGTCTCAAACAAATATAACAGGATCTCTAAAATCTTTCTCTGCTGTCTCTAGTTGTGACTGAAGTCCTACCTGGGAAATAACAAATGCTAAGTCCTCACCCTCCTACCCCTCTTCCCCACCTCTTTTACTGTATTCTAAAGGGAATGGAAGGACTTGGAAAGACAAATTCCCGTAGGATGTAGGAGAAGGTAGCAGAACTGCTGTTATCAGACCTCCTTTCTCTACCTCCCCTCGGCTGAAAACCAGTCATTTGAATGGAAAATAGAGAGTCCCAGTTCTGTGGGGGTTCTCCTTTACCTCTTGAAAAGGGAGAGGAGGTGGTACTCTTTCTTACTCCCCACAACCAGTGAGTGATAGCCTACCAGCTGAGATTGAAGGTGACCATATCAAGGGGGCATGGGCATCTATTTCCAAGTTGGATGTCTTAGGGCCTATTTAAGAGGGATGGGGGAAATGGAAGACAGCAGTAAGTGGGAAGCCTACACTCCCACTGCTGGACATGAGCAGAAAGGATGGATTTCCCTTGGGCTTAGGGAACTTCTCACAAGACAGCTGTCTTGAACCTTTCCTATCAGTGCTCCACCATTGAGAATGATCTCAGGGCAATATTTGAGAGGAGTAAGGAGCCCCAGAAGAGGGAGGAGAGGAATATCCCCTTTTCTCCCCCAAGTCCCTTGGGCCCAGGGCTGACAGAGATGGGGAGCATGGAAGGCATGACAATGAAGTTTTAGAACTGATTAAACTGGGCTGGGATTCCCACTTCTGGGTATAAATCCAAAGGAAAGGAAAATCGGGTCTCAAAGGGTCTGCGCTCCTGTGTTCACTGCAGCATTATCCACAATAGCCAAGATATGGAAACAACCTAAGTGTCCGTCAACAGAAGAATGGCTAAAGAAGATGGGGTATATGCATACACACAATAGCATACCATTCAGCCATGAGAAAGAAGGAAATCCAGCCATTTGTGATAACATGGACAGGCTTCGTTTAGAGCATTATGCCAAGCCAGACAGTCAGATAGAAAAAGACAAATACTGGAGAGAGGGCAAGATGACGGAGAAGTAAGGAGCTCTGTACTTGCACTCGAGCCCATACATCACACAGAAAAGATCTGAAGCCATTGGAAACCTTACAAAACCTGAGAGATTGGGAGAAAAAAGACGCAGAATCCACTGAGAGAGCCTTCTAACGTGAGTGCGAACCGGGGA